TCGAGGCTGCAGTGAGCCGTGATCGTGCCACTCCACTCCACTCCCCATGACAGAGTGAGACTCTGTCTCAAAAAAAAAAAAAAAAAAAAGGCCTCCCATTGCTTCTGAGAGGTCCTGAACCCTACTGTGCATGCAAATAAACTAATTTAGGCATGTCAAATGTTCTGTCAAAAGTTCTCCATTTTGGCCTATAAATCTTTATATTGTTCCAAATTAGCTTTTTTCCAGGATCCAAAATATCCACAAGACTTTTTCTTATAATTCTGAAACATGTAGGTTCCTGATGGCAGCTGGTCTGGGACTGTCTCCTTAGAATCTAGGTTCCCCAGAAGAGCATAAGACATTCCTTCGTGTGCCACTAGAGGGCAAGCATCCTCACCAAACCTGATAGGCCAGATGAGTCAGGCTGAACTGCCCCCAACCTCCCCAACTAGAAACCTGGGGCCAAAAAAGATGGCCTTTGCAGGGTCTGGATGGAGGGAATCAGGGTGAAAAAATGAAGTCCTCGAGATCTCAATTCAAAAGTGGGAGATCTTAGATCGGGGAGAGCTTACCCACCTTCCTCCAAAAGCTGACAGGGAAACAACTGAGCTGTCAATGGCTCTGCCTGGCACCAGTGCATTCACTCACGCTGGGGGGAACCTGAGCTGCTCCATGGATCCTACTCTTGTCTTCAGTTATGTTGGCTTACAATCACAAGATCTGTACATTTGGAAGGGAGAGCTTTATTTCTTTTGTCGGGTTGCAACCTACAAGCTAGGAATTGAAGTGAGGGTAGGACAGGGGTTTTACACTAAATGAGTTGGCTAAACATACATATTTAATAAGTTTTAAGATGATTTCTGAATATTCATGAGAGTTGCACACATGTGTACCAAAAAACATGTTAAATATGTCCCATATTCTCTTCGGGGTGGAGACATTAAAATGTGGTCGAATTAGGCTCTATATGTCAAAAGGTGAAACACAGGACCCAAAGAACTTTGTGTGCTGCCTCTGTAAACCAGCCAGAACTGGTCCATGGTGGAGAGTCATTGATCAGCCAGGAATGTTTTGTAAGTTGATCAGCTGTCATGTCAAAATTGGGAAAGGGAAAGGAGTCTGGCAGTTGGTTGAAGTTGAAATCAGTGAAAGAGTCTCCTGTTCTTGGTTTTCCAAGGCTGGTTTCTATTTAGGTCTTGGGAAAGAAGCCTGGTAACGGTTCATGAGGAAGCAGGTGTACTGAGGTATGAGTGACTTATCATCATGGTCAGGAAACTTAGATTTTAAAGTTTCTCCGGGGTCTCTTTGGCCAAGAGGTGTCCATTCAGTTGTTTGGAGGGCTGAGGATTGCATTTGTATTTCCCAGAGGGTTGAGTCCTCTGAAGACCCCAGCAGGTAGAGGCCTCTGGAACCCTCAGGCCTCTTTCCTTCTTTATACCCCAGTGCTGATTGGAGAAGGGCAGGCAGGTGTCTAGGAACACCTGAACATGGGAGCTCCTCTAGATGGAGCTCCTGCCCTCTCATCCTCTGCCCCTGGCCTGGGGGCTGATCATGAACTGAACTTTATGCCCCCTCCACTGCAGAAGTGAGACCTGCCCCCTGAGCCAGGCCCCCGGGCCATGAGGGCTTCAGAATAATACCAGCAAGTGGAAGGTTGGGTTGGAGATCAAGTTCAGTTCCTCTGGTAAGTCCTCACCACTTGTGGAGTCTCAGAGCCCTGCTCTGAAGGAGGTGGTGTTCCTATCTGGAGTCTGGGTGCTAGGACCAGCAGGGAGGGGCAGTCAGGCAGTCAGCTTGGACCAGTCCAGACAGTATCTGCCTGAGCTGGACGCTTAATACCACAAGGTTAACCATTGGCATTCCTTCTAACCCCAACCCAAAGATTGCCCTAGGACCAGGCAGATAACAGGAAGGTGTTTGACTCACCGAGGTGGAGACTCTGGGCTTCAGGAAGCAGGAGAGGGGCCTCAGACTGGGGAGGAGAGAACCCTGAGTTCTTCCCTGAGTGCCAGCCTATCACACATGCAATCTCACATCACTCATCTTCCCAGCTGTAGGAACTACTGATCTCAGTCTGATTCTAAGCCTGACTTCTTGCACCTAGCAGTTGCAGGTGAGAAGCTTTGTGAGGGGCCCACAGGGCACTGTCCTAAGGAATGCAGATCCAGTGTTTCTTCTTTGGCCTTAACTGCTGCCCACTCCCCTCATAACTCCTATCTCAGCCACCCTGGAATTCTGCTTGCACTTCTATTACCTCTAAGCCTTTGCACTTGCCGAGACCTGTCCATGGAATGCCATTCCCCGTGCTGTTTTGTGCTTGGCAAACATTATTCCTTTGGAAGCCTTCCCTGACCTCTTTGGGCTTCAGCAGAACAACACCACACTCTGTGCTTCCCTCTGTGAAAGCCTCGTCTCCTTGTTCTAAGAGTCACTGGTTCTCAGAACTGTCTGTCCCCGCCAGACCTTGCAAGGAACTCAGTTCCCTTCCTGTCAGCTGAGACCAGCATGGGCCAGTGGACAGGATGCTCAGAAGGACTTGTTGACTGACAGAATGGATGCAGCGATTCCTTAACTTACTGAGCACATTCTCGGTGCCAGGCACTGACCCAGACCCTGGGGATGTAGCTTAAAATGACATAGACAAAACCCTGCTTTCAGGAGAGTATGTTTTGTTAGGGAAAAGGCAGACAACAAACACAGTAGACAAAAATCTGCACAAGGACACAGAATAATGTGATGAGAAATCAGCTGAGTGGCTTTGTTAGGTTGAGTGGTAAGAAGTCATTTTTGGGGGGAATTGTAGGTTGTGATCTAAGTGGCCACAAAGTGCTAGACTGCAGAGGATTAAAGAACGTTTCAGGCATGCAGAGAAAGAGTTGCTGGAGCAAAGACCCCCAACATGAGAAGTGTGACTGAAGCTCACTTGTGGGGGTGGTGTGGGAGAGATTTGGCTTGAGGGCTCAGAGGAGGGGCACAGTCTTCTGTGCTACTTTGAAGAAGTTTGGTTTTTACAGTTGATACCACTGAAAAGTATTGAAGGGTTGGTGAAAGAGCTGTAACATAGTAAGACATGTTTAGCTTTTGTTTTCCCTTTTTAAAAAAAGGTCCATCAGGTACTAGAACATGTCAGTGGAAGTGTGCTGATGAATAGAGTATCTCTAGTTCTCCAGTCTCTCCCTACAACATGTTTACTAGTTACAAAGGGGAAAGTGTAGTGGAGAAATGTGGCAGACACGATCTCAACCAAAAGATCAAAGTTAACGTCACCAGGAATAGGCAAACCCTTCACCACGTGCCTCCCGTTATGATGCACGGGACAACCATGTAGGGTATTCGTGCCCAAAATGCATAACCTCAATGAATCATGAGGAAACAGACAAACCCAAATGGAGGAGTATTCTACCAAATAACTGGCTTGTGGCTTTCAGCAATGTCAAGATCATAAAAGAACCCCATTCCTTCCAATGCCCGTCAGTAGGAGACTGAATTCAGTGTGATGTATACACAGAATGGATTATTACCCAGTAATTTAACATCTCAGTAGGTCAACATGGAAAGATCTCAGAACAATGGCAGATGAAAATTGCACTGAGCTGCCCTTTCCCCACCTGTAAGATGAGTAGAAAATCAAAGTTTGATGGCATAGTGGGTTGACAGGGTTGTGGAGAAACAGGCAGTCTCTCTCTCTTTTTTTTTTTTTTGAAACAGGTTCTTGCCCTGTCACCTGGGCTGGAGTGCAGTGGCATGATCATAGCTTACTGTAACCTCAACCTGCTGGGGCTCAAGCGATTCTCTCACCTCAGCCTCCCTAGTAGTTGGGACTACAGGTGCACACCACCATGCCCAGCTGATTTTTTTAGTTTTTTGTGGAGATGGGGTTTCACCATGTTGCCCAGGCTGATCTTGAACTCCTGGGTTCAAGAGATTCTCCTGCCTCAGCATCTCAAAGTGCTGAGATCACAGGCATGAGCCATCACACCCAGTGGAGAAAGAGGCACTCTTATACTTTGCTGGTGGGGGAGCCACATTGATACAACCTCCATAAAGTTGTAACTCTCAAAATTATATGTACTCTTGACCCAATAATCTTTTCTGGAATTTTTTTTTTTTTTTTTTTTTTTTTTTTTTGAGATGGAGTCTCGCTCTGCCGCCCAGGCTGGAGTGCAGTGGCCGGATCTCAGCTCACTGCAAGCTCCGCCTCCCGGGTTCACGCCATTCTCCTGCTTCAGCCTCCCGAGTAGCTGGGACTACAGGCGCCCACCACCGCGCCCGGCTAGTTTTTTGTATTTTTTAGTAGAGACGGGGTTTCACCGTGTAAGCCAGGATGGTCTCGATCTCCTGACCTCGTGATCCGCCCGTCTCGGCCTCCCAAAGTGCTGGGATTACAGGCTTGAGCCACCGCGCCCGGCCCTTTTCTGGAATTTAAATGTAACGTTCCACTAAGTAAAAGATTGTTAATTGCAACATTAGTTGTCATTGTTTTTTAAAAAAGCAGGTCAGGCACAGTGACTCATGCCTATAATCCCAGCACTCTGGAACGCCAAGGAGGGAGTATTATCTGGGCCCAGGAGTTCAAGACCAGCCTAGGCAACACAGCAAGATTCCTGTCTCAAATAACTAAAGAAATAAATAGATAGAAACAAGGTAAATGTTCATCACTGAGATCCTCCTCCCCACCAATATCTCCATCCAGCCTGTATCTAGTGAGTGAAGGGAAAAGAAACTCTCTTCCCAACTTGAATCCCAATAACTCATCAGCTAACTCTGACCTTCTTCTCTCTATCTGTGTCTTTCTCCATGTGTAGTGCTGGTGGGATGAGCTTGGCGTGAGGGGGAAGCCAGTGCAGGGATAAGAGACCCAAACTAAGGGATCAGATACCTGGATTCTAGCTCAACCTCCACACCCTGCTTCCCAGTGAACATCAGGCTAGTTCCAGCCCGATTTGGGGCCTGTCAATGGAAAAGATGAAGCAATGTGTCCCTCCAACCCACTCGTCCCCAGATTACAAGACACAAGACACATGTGGATTTGTCTAGTAGAATAGGTTGTCGGAAGAACCCCAGAGGACCCTTCTTGGATCAGGAACCAATAATCCCACGGGACGGGGCCCCAGCATTCATGGTCGCAGCATAGAACTTGGCCACCTCCTCATTGGCGTTGCCCTGGGCTGAGTCAAACCACATCTGGATGCAGCGGCCGCTCCCTCCACTGTAGTTACTGACCTTGAAGGAGTGGCTCCAGAGGCCTTCACAAAGGGCGGCTGGAGTGGGGAAGTAGGACTCAAAGGTGCGGCAGAGGGCCCGGGCCGGACACTCATTAATCCCTGAGGGAGGAGAACATAAGACCCTGAGCTTCTGGGCCAGACTGCACCCCTCCCAACCCTAAAGCCCCACTCCCACTCCTCATCTCGTCTCCTCCCGGCCCTCACCTGAGGTCCAATTCCAGCCTTTGTGCCAGTTGCTTTTGCAGGTGTAGGAGGTGCGACAGTCCTCCCACCATCGCTCACAGTCCTCTTTGCACAGGGGCACATTCAGGATGCGCTCTTTGCGCCAGCTCTGGTTGACCTGAGTGGGGAGGAGACGGAACGCTCCTGTCAGCCACATATCTCAGCAGCTTTATCCTCGAAGGGGACCAGAGCTGTGGGAGGGGGCAGAGCATCCACCACCCTCAGACCTGAATTCCTGGACCAAGCCCTCCCTGCAAGTGGCTGGCAGGCTCTGCTCTTTGCTGAGGCTCATGTTTATGGGAATGGCACACATACCTGCCAGATCCAGGGCCCCAAGTTGGGTGAGCACTCATAGAGACAGGCATCCTGGATAAAGTGGCGCTTGCAGGCGGGCTCCATCTTACCACAGTGGTCCCAGTTAAAGTTGTACAGTTTAAAGTTGCAGCTCCTGGCTGGTGTTGGCCGTGCAGCAGGCATTCTTCTTCCAGGGACTGCACTGGGTGAGGAAGACACAGGACTAAATCTCTCCCCACCACAGCCATCTCCTCCATATTCTGGCTCCTCTGCCCCAGGTAGGTCATCCAGAGAAACACTTCCTGGGGAGGGCCCTTGAAGAGGGCCCTTGAGGAGCCCCCACCTGGGGACAGAGGCAGTTACAGTATTGGTGCTTTTCCTTCTATTTATTCATTTATTTATTTATTCGAGACAGGATCTTGCTCTGTTGACCAGGCTGGAGTGCAGTGGTGTGATCATAGCTCACTGCAGCCTCAACATCCTGGGCTCAAATAATCCTCCCACCTCAGCCTCCCGAGGAGCTGGGATTCAGGCACATGCCACTATGCCTGGCTAATATAAACTATTTTTGTAGAGGTGGGGTGTCACTATGTTGCCTAGGCTGGTGTCAAACTCCTTGGCTCATGTCAGCTTCCAAAAATACTAAGATTATAGGCGTGAGCCACCATGCTTACTTAATTTTGGCTTTTAAGAGAAGGTAATACAGGGGATATAGGAGATGAGGTGGAGCCACTGTCTGGAAGAGTAATTACTAGTAGTACAGCTCTTAACGGTTTAAAAAGTTATTTCATGTTATTAAACTAACTTGTTTTTGAGACAGAGTTTTGCTCTTGTTGCCCAGGCTGGAGTGCAGTGGCATGATCTTGGCTCACTGCAACTTCCACTTCCCGGGTTCAAGCAATTCTCCTGCCTCAGCCTCCCAAGTAGCTGGGATTACAGGCACGCATCACCATGCCCAGCTAATTTTGTATTTTTAGTAGAGACGGGGTTTCACCATGTTTGCCAGGTTGGTCTCGAACTCATGACCTCAGGTGATCCACCCACCTTGGCCTCCCAAAGTGCTGGGATTACAGGCATGAGCCACCACGTCCGGTCTATTTCATGTTATTCAGCTTATTTCTATTATTCATTTTGCATCCAGCCAATATTAACTGAGTGCTTATTATACATCAGGCACTGTACTAGGTCCTAGGAATACCACAGTGAAGAAAACCAGTAACATCTCTACCCTCAGGGAGGGTATGGTTTTAGTGGGTGGGTGGGCTGTATATAGAAGGGAGACAAAGAACACTCAGGTATAGAACACCGTAGGTGCAAAGTCCCCAAGGCTTTTGTGCTTTATTCTCTCAACGACCCAGTATGAATCCTTACCCCCATTTTTTTTGTTTTGTTTTGTCTTGTTTTGTTTTTGAGACAGAGTCTTGCTCTGTGCCCCAGGCTGGAGTGCAGTGGCGTGATCTCAGCTCACTGCAAGCTCCGCCCCCCGGGTTCATGCCATTCTCCTGCCTCAGCCTCCCGAGGAGCTGGGACTACAGGCGCCTGCCACCACACCCGGCTAGTTTTTTGTATTTTTTTAGTAGAGACGGGGTTTCACCGTGTTAGCCAGGATGGTCTCGATCTCCTGACCTTGTGATCCGCCCGCCTCGGCCTCCCAAAGTGCTGGGATTACAGGCTTGAGCCACCGCGCCCGGCCCCATTTTTACAGAGTTTAAGTAAGCTACACCCAGGGTAAATAGTGAAGTTAAGATTTAAGGAGGCGGGCAGATCACCTGAGGTTAGGAGTTCGAGACCAGCCTGACCAACATAGAGAAGCCCTGTCTCTACTAAAAATACCCAAAAAATTAGCTGGGCACAGTAGCAGTCGCCTGTAATCTCAGCTACTCAGGAGGCAGAGGCAGGAGAATCACTTGAACCCAGGAGGCGGAGGTTGCAGTGAGCCAAGATCATGCCCTTGCACTCCAGCCTGGGCAACAACAGTGAAACTCCATCTCAAAAAAAAAAAAAAATTTTTTTTTAACTGAGGACAGGGAGGAGAAGAACCTGGCCCAGGTTGTGTGGTGGGTGGAGGTCAAGGGGCTGGTCTGGCTCTCCCAGGGTCTGGAGGTCCAGGTGGGGAGACTCTAGATAGATCCAGAGAGTGGTGCAGAATGGAGGAGCTGTAGCCTGCATGTGGGTCTGAACCTAGATTTGACTAAATGTGGAAAAGGCAATCCTAGAAAGGTAAATACAAGGCAGGTAAGATAAGCAGAAATGGTGGAGGTTTCTCTTTGGAAATCACTCTAGGTCAGGACTCAGAAAACCTGAGAAATCATGAATCAATTGCTTAAATTTTCTGGGATGAACCCTCGCACCTAGGGTCAAGTGATGGCAGAGGCGTGACAGGTCTGAGCACCCAGGAGAAACAGTAAAGAAATCCATGGGAGTCGAGCCAGATCTACCCATCTCCCACACCCTGGCCCACGCCCAGTGCGGGCTGACACAGAACATGCTTTCCTGCCGGCCTGACTTCACACTTGCTTTTCCTTGGATGTCCCAACTCCTGGTCTTCCTGCAAGACCCTTGCACATCATGGGTCTTGGGGTTTGGCAGACATGGGTCTTGCCTGTCAGGGTCAAGGGTTGCTGCCTCCAAAAGAGTTACTGAGTACAATGAGAAGAACTCCATTGCTATAGTAGGGGCTCAACAAATATCATCACTCTCATATAGCTCATGGCCTTGAGAATGATAGTCATCTGTCTCTCTCAAAGGTCTACATCCACACCATTTCCTGGCAAGGAGGATGTGCTCTAGAATGTTCTGAAAAGCAAATGAAGTGGTGGGCACAGAGTTTCCGTTTCAGTTTTGGTGGATGAAAGAGGTCAGGAGATGGATGGTGGTGACAGTTGCACAACCACATAAGCATACTTAATACCACTGAACCATACAGTTAAAAATGGCTCAAATGGAAAAATGTATGTTATGTATTTGGGTGTTTTTTTTTTTAACCCCGATTTAAAAATAAGCAAATGGAATATTGGGAATGACTCAGATGTTATGGGGCTTTCAGACTGTCCTCTCTTCGCTTTAACCCACAGATTGTGTCCCTGCCACAGTCTCTCCCTGCGCACATTCGCAGCCCTCTGGGAATGTGAACCCTTGTAGGGAGCAGGCCAGGAGACCAGAATAATAAAATATAGGCACTCTCCTGAGCCTGAAGTTCAAATTGGAGCTCATATTCCCCGAGCTGCCTCAGTGGCCTCACCTGTGGCATGGTGGCCCCGGCCGCCCCTCCCCTTCCTTGTCGGCAGCGGCACCCTGGGTTCTGAGGACACTGGACCTGCCATTGCTCATGCCGTCACCCTCTGACCTGTGTGCATGCTGTCCTCCACCAGGCTGCCCTCACCTGGCCATACAGTTCGTCCTCGGGACTGGGCTGTGCCTTGTGGTGCTTGGCGTTCATGCAGACGTTGAGCAGGTCCGTCCTGGCCCGCGAACTCCTGGGCTGGGCACTCCTCGAAGCAGTCACCAAAGCCAGAAGCAGCAGCTGCATCATCTGCCAGGCCATGTCCATCTATTCCTGCCAGAGAGCCACAGTCAGAGGTGGACAAGGCCTGAGGGAGGGGTAGCAGCCACGAGAGTGTGTACTGTCCCCTTCCCAGGCCCAGATCTCTGCCCTCCCCACTCCGCATCCACCACAGGGCAGCTGAGCCAAGACACGCGCTGCCTGTAGAGGTGAGAGGGAGCCCTTCCCTGACCTGGAGGCAGGACCCTCCTCCTGCTTCCCACCAACAGCACTCTAGGTCCAGGCTCTGGCACCAGCTTGCTCTGTGATCACTTAGGGAACCACCGCCCTTATGGACTTCCCCTCTTGGATTTCTCCAGTGTTTTATGCAATTCTTTTCAAATTTGCACAAGGAGGAAACACAGGTGGTGGCCTGCTGATGCAAGAGTGAGACTCTAGACAGCCTCAGGCTTCTGCTTCCTCAGCCCGTCCTCTTACCCCAGGGCAGCTGAGGTTTAGATGCCCAGGGAAGCTGAGATGGGGACAGCAAAGGCCATGGAGCTGTCAGCTATTGTTCATGGTCCCAGAGCAGATGCTGTGGGAGGCAAAGGGATGGGGGCAATCACACCTCACCACTCACCCCTCCTGGGTCTTGGGAAATTACCCAGGCAGAAGCAGGCTCAGAGGTTGGGGGAGGCCAACAGGTCAGTGGCAAATGGAGGAGGGGGCTGAGCAAGAACAGATGGTGGTTGGTCAGTGGAGGCAAAGACAGCAGAGAGCCCAGCCTCCCAGGAGATGGAGGTGCTATCTCACCTCCCATCTCTCATCCCCACTTTTCCCTCCGTCCTGTTGCAGGGCCTTACCTCTGTTCTCAGCCCACCTGGGAAGGTGGAGTCTCTCCCACCTCCCCACCTACTTTATAACCCCATCCTGCCTGCTTGGTTAGACCCTCTGTTAGGGAAGGTGCACAAGGCTTTGTCTAGGAGACAGCTCAATTGTCTTTCAATAAGGACCCAGTTAAATTATGGTACATCTACCCCGTGGAATTTAATGTGGTAACAAAGAAAGAGGAAGCTCCTAATGTACAAATATGGAAAAACCTCCAAGCGCATTGTTAAGTGGAAAAAGAAAGGTGCAGAAAAATGCTATGCAAAAAAAAAAAAATTCTGTGTAAAAAAGCAGTAAGAATGTCTGTGTTGACTGGGTGTGGTGGCTCACGCCTGTAATCCCAGCACTTTGGGAGACCAAGGCAGGCAGATCTTTTTTTTTTTTTTTTTTGAGACAGAGTCTCGATCTGTTGCCCAGGCTGAAGTGTAGTGGTGTGATCTCCGCTCACTGCAAGCAGCAGGTGGATCATTTGAGGTCAGGAGTTCGACATCAGCCTGGTCAATATGGTAAAACCCCATCTCCACTAAAAATACAAAAATTAGCTGAGTGTGGTGTCACATGCCTCTAATCCCAGCTACTCAGTAGGCTGAGATGGGAGAATCACTTGAACCTGGGAGGAGTTTGCAGTGAGCCAAGATCACACCACCGCACTCCAGCCTGGATAACAGAACATGACTCTGTCATTAAAAAAAAAAAGAATATCTGTGTTTGCAGGTGAAAATTCTGTGGCAAGGTGTGAAAAGAAATTAATAACTTTGGCCGGGCGCGGTGGCTCAAGCCTGTAATCCCAGCACTTTGGGAGGCCGAGACGGGCGGATCACGAGGTCAGGAGTTCGAGACCATCTTGGCTAACACGGTGAAACCCCGTCTCTACTAAAAAATACAAAAAACTAGCCGGGCGAGGTGGTGGGCGCCTGTAGTCCCGGCTACTCGGGAGGCTGAGGCAGGAGAATGGCGTAAAAACCCGGGAGGCAGAGCTTGCAGTGAGCTGAGATCCGGCCACTGCACTCCAGCCTGGGCGACACAGCGAGACTCCGTCTCAAAAAAAAAAAAAAAAAGAAATTAATAACTTGGTCACCTGGCAGAAGAGAACAGGATTAGGCATGAGACTTTTGTCTGTAAACCTTTCCACATTGTTTTGATTTTTGGACCATGTGACTATAAATCTTATTTAAATATATATAGGTATGTGTGCATACATACATAAATATACCAAGTATGAAGCGAAAATACTAAGACACAGAATGACTTCTCTGACTTGATAATATTTATGTAAATTTTGATAACACTAGAATGTGTACAATGGTACATTTAAGTTAAGGATGCTATTCATGTGCTTGCAAAAGTATGAACATGAAGCCACCAAGGGTTCTGGTCCCTGGACATACGTCCAGTAAATTCGATGCACTTACACCACATGTATCCCATTTCTGTGCACAAATGGTAGCATACTGTTCTGTACTTTGCTTTTTTGGGTAGTTTCACTATAAATTTATTCTTCTTTTGACAAAAAACAAAAACTTCATGAACTCAAGTTATCCACAATTGCACACTTGAGTATTACTGTACATCTGATATTAGATGTACAGTAATACTCAATAACTAAAGTTATTTCTTTATGCTTCATAGGGTCCCAACTTAAAACTCTTTCATTAGCCAATATAAAAAAAGTTAGCTGGCTGGGTGTGGTGCCTTATGCCTGTAATCCCAGCGTTTTGGGAGGCCAAGGTGGATGGATTCCAGGAGTTCGAGACCACCTGGGCAACAGAGGGAGACCTCATCTGCACACAAAAATACAAAAATTAGCCAGGTGTGGTGATACAAGCCTGTAGTTTCAGCCATTTGGGAGGGTGAGCTGGGAGGATTGCTTGAGCCCTAGAGGTCGAGGCTGCAGTGAGCTGTGATGGCACCACTGCACTCCAGTCTGGGTGTCAGAGTGAGAAACTGTCTCAAACAAACAAACAAAACAAAACAAAAGAAGAGAGAGAGAAAGAAAGAGAGAGAGAGAGAAGGAAGGAAGGAAGGAAGGAAGGAAGGGAGGGAGGGAGGGAGGGAGGGAGGGATGGAGGGAGGGAGGGAGGAAGGAAAGAAAGAAAAGAGAGCTTCATGTTTTCAAGATAAAAGTGCCTAATCCTTGGTTTGTATTTCTCCAACACTCTTTCAGGCAGTAGAATTGCTACTAACCTGGGAAGATGACTGGCACTGCTCCTATGTTTTTCTTATGTAGTGTGAAGTGATGTTTTCCCATTATGATGTTGGGAACATCTCCAGTACTGTTATCATTTACTCGGCTAGTAGAAAGCTTCTCCTAAGGCAGAGCCTGTGTTTTCAGTCTGGCCTCAGTATCTATTCCTGCTACAGGTGAGTCTGAGGTGACGAGACCAGTGTCTAGTTATGAAGCCCCTGCCTCCCCAGGGCTCCATCATGGATGAGTCCTGCACCATATTCAGCAGTCCTCTGCCCTCCCTCCATTGCACCCACCTGTGACTTTTCTCTTCTTTTCAATACCCTCCCCCAACAACCTCTGCCAGTGACTTTGAATGTGTTGTGGGGGTCTTTGCAGAAGAATTGCCCGACTGAGTTTTGCCCAGATTCCTGACTCACAACATCTTGGAATATAATAAAATAGTTATTGTTTCAAGCAACTATGTGTATTTGATTTTTTTTTTTTTTTTTTTTTGAGACAGAGTCTCGCTCTGTCGCCCAGGCTGGAGTGCTGTGGCCGGATCTCAGCTCACTGCAAGCTCCGCCTCCCGGGTTCCCGCCATTCTCCTGCCTCAGCCTCCCAAGTAGCTGGGACTACAGGCGCCACCTCGCCCAGCTAGTTTTTTGTATTTTTTTAGTAGAGACGGGGTTTCACCGTGTTAGCCAGGATGGTCTCGATCTCCTGACCTCGTGATCCGCCCATCTCGGCCTCCCAAAGTGCTGGGATTACAGGCTTGAGCCACCGCTCCCTACCGTGTATTTGATTTTTTAAACTTTTTGTTTTGAAATAATTTTAGACTTGCAGAAAAACTGCAAAAAATCATCAAAAGATTTCCCATATGTTTTCATGCAACTTCCCCAAATGTTGACATCTTATGTAACCAAAGCCCAGTTACTTAAAAAATCAGGAAATTAATATTGAGGCAATACTGTTAACTAATCTACAAGCTTTATCCCCTTTACACCAGTTTCCCCACCAATGTCCTTTCTCTGATCCAGGATTCAGTCCATGATTCCAGGTTGCATTTAGTTGTCATGTCCCCTCAGTCTCCTCCAATTTGTGACAGTTCCTCAATGTCTGTCTTTGTCTTTTATGACCTTGACACTTTCGGAGAATTACTGGTCAGTTATTTTGCAGAATGTCCCTCAATTTGGGTTTGTCTGCATTTTCTTGTAATTAGCTGGAGATTATGCATTTTGGCAAGAAAATTAGAGAGGAGAGGTGCTTTTGTCAGTGCATCATATCAAGGGGTACATGATGAGGGTTGCTACATCTTATTGCTGGTAATTATTGGGTTAAAGAGATTTCCTTACCATATAATTGTTAGTTTCCCTTTGTTAGTAATCCTACCTTGTAGGGAGACACTCTGAGACTATGTGAATATCCTTTTCATATTTTCATCCACTTAGTTTAACGTTGCCTGCAGCAATACACCACAAAATTATGGAATGATTTGTTATGCAGCAACAGACAACTAGTAAACCCATGAGAGTTAGTAGTGTGTTTCTTAAACTCTGAGGAAACAATTTGGCTTATAACCTTAGTTTAGCCACACAGCAGTTACTCTTACTACAACAAAACTGCCAGGAAAAAACAGAGTACTAATCACATTAATCTTTAAATGAAATCAATTATAAAAGTGAGTAGTTATAATAGTTAAACCTACTTTACCCTCTGTGAACATTCTGCATGATGGACTTGAGACAGTGGACTGAATAATTGCTCAGGAAATCAGCACTACCTCAGTTACTTTCTGATGGGTCCTTTTAATACAGTAAACAGAAGATTTCATAGACAGAAATACTGGCTCTTCAAGGCTTCTTCAATCATGAGGATGTTTCTGAGAAGCTTCTGAGCACATACTTCTATGGAAGATGATCACAGATCTGAGGTCTTTGCACTTCATAATTATTCTGTCAACCACAGTCATATTAATCCCCACTCTGCACACCTATCAGTAGCGCTAGGACCTAAACCACTATGCCCGCAGGGTCCAAAAAGAAAGAGGTATGTCCTCAACCAATGACTTTCTGATACTTATAGACTTCATAAAATTCATGCCTTCCAATCCCAGACTCCACTATCATGGCCAAGGCCAGATCTGGTTGACTTGCCAATGGTGCTAAAGACTCTGCTAAAGATTCTGGTGAATGCCAAGGCCAGCCTTCATCCAAGTGACCAGAATACCTTTAATGAATGCCTGGTTTTCAGTAGCCTCTACATAAAAGGCACACTGATTTGCTATACCTAC